CTGTATAGGGTGAGATGACTTACTTTAATCAACTGTATTTTGCTCTACGCGGGACACGGTGTGTTTGTGTGTTGTTGTTGTTGTTTTCAAGTGGTTGTTTGTTGTTCTTGTTGTGTACTGGCGGTTGTGTTCTAGTGGTCGACGTGATCTTGTTCATGTTCTCCTGAAGGGCAGAGAGGTGACGAGGGGCGGTGAGAGGCAGAGAGGTGACGAGGGTCGGTGAGAGGCAGAGAGGTGACGAGGGTCGGTGAGAGGCAGAGAGGTGTCGAGGGTCGGTGAGAGGCAGAGAGGTGACGAGGGTCGGTGAGAGGCAGAGAGGTGACGAGGGGCGGTGAGAGGCAGAGAGGTGACGAGGGTCGGTGAGAGGCAGAGAGGTGACGAGGGTCGGTGAGAGGCAGAGAGGTGTCGAGGGTCGGTGAGAGGCAGAGAGGTGACGAGGGGCGGTGAGAGGCAGAGAGGTGACGAGGGTCGGTGAGAGGCAGAGAGGTGACAAGGGTCGGTGAGAGGCAGAGAGGTGTCGAGGGTTGGTGAGGGGACAGAGAGGTGACGAGGGTCGGTGAGGGGACAGAGAGGTGACGAGGGTCGGTGAGAGGCAGATAGGTGACGAGGGTCGGTGAGAGGCAGAGAGGTGACGAGGGTCGGTGAGGGGCAGAGAGGTGACGAGGGTCGGTGAGGGGCAGAGAGGTGATGTATTATGATGCCTCTTCAGTGGAAAACTGAACCAAAACATGTTCTGGTTCTGCATGTGTCTTCCCTGCTCACTCATCCTTCCTGTGAGTTGTTGTGTGTTCTTGTGGGTGTGTGTGTTCCTGTGTGTTGTGTGTTCTTGTGGGTGTGTGTGTTCCTGTGTGTTGTGTGTTCTTGTGGGTGTGTGTGTTCCTGTGTGTTCTTGTGGGTGTGTGTGTTCCTGTGTGTTCTTGTGGGTGTGTGTGTTCCTGTGTGTTGTGTGTTCTTGTGCGTGTGTGTTCTTGTGCGTGTGTGTTCTTGTGGGTGTGTGTTCTTGTGGGTGTGTGTTCTTGTGCGTGTGTGTTCTTGTGGGTGTGTGTTCTTGTGCGTGTGTGTTCTTGTGCGTGTGTGTTCTTGTGCGTGTGTGTTCTTGTGCGTGTGTGTTCTTGTGCGTGTGTGTTCTTGTGGGTGTGTGTGTTCCTGTGTGTTCTTGGGGGTTCTCGTGGGTGGGTGTTCATAAGATTGAATGTTTTTGTATGTTTGTGTTCTGCAGTTGTTTTCCTGTGGTCGATTGTTCTTGTGGGTGTATTCACCTAGTTGTGAATACAACTAGGTGCAATATTGCGGAGGAACACATTGCTGGGGGAATACAACCCCCGCAACCTAGTTGTGGGGGTTGAGCTCTGCTCCTTCGGCCCGCCTCTCAACTGTTACTAACTAGTTAAATTTTACTACTAACTTTTATTCCCCCCCCCCCCTCACACACACACAGGAAGGTGTTTGTGTATGCGTAACAGCTGTCTAACTCCCAGGTACCTATTTACTGCTAGGTAACAGGCGCATCAGGGTGAAAGAAACGCTGCCCATCTCTTTCCGCCGGCAATCGAACCCGGGACCACAGGACTACGAATCCAGTGTGCTGTCTACTCAGCCACCAGCGCCCCCTAATGTGTTTTCTGACGGTTGTGTGTTCTTGTGGTTGTGCGTTCTAGTGATTATGTAGTGTTGTGGGTTGTGTTACAGGTCGGGTACACGTACGGTTGAGAGGCGGGACCAAAGAGCCAGAGCTCAACCCCCTCAAGCAGTGAAGCATACATAAATATGTTGACTGAATAATAAATTATACATTTATCAAAAATGTAATTATAAGTTAGCTCAAATGTTTGTGACAAGCTGTCACGCTGATTACGGCGTTCAGGGCAGTCACTCCAACCTGTATACTTTATTATTATTAACATCTTTATTGACAACATTAATTACAATTTTGCCTAATCTGAGGATTTTGATTAAGTCTTATTAAAGTGAGGATAATGCTGGTATTGACTGTCACGCAGGACAGAGGGTCATACACAAGACAATAGGTCTAAACTGTAGGCGGAAGTACATATATATCATGGTTACCTATATACTGAGAGGCGGGGGTTGAGCTCTGGCTCTTTGGTCCCGCCTCTCAACCGTCAATCAACAGGAATCTGTACACCTGTTGATTGACGGTTGAGAGGCGGGACCAAAGAGCCAGAGCTCAACCCTCGCAAGCACAACTAGGTGAGTACCGAGATGGTTGGGGCTGAAGGTCCCCAAGCCGGCGCCCGAGGGCAGACACCGCCCTTCTCTCACGTCGGAGCGAAGCCGCTAGAGATGATGCTACAGTTTTGTGGGATTGAAGCCCTTGAGTGTTGACAACAGTCGTGTCCTTGAGTGTTGACAACAACAGCCGTGTCCTTGAGTGTTGACAACAGTCGTGTCCTTGAGTGTTGACAACAACAGCCGTGTCCTTGAGTGTTGACAACAACAGCCGTGTCCTTGAGTGTTGACAACAGTCGTGTCCTTGAGTGTTGACACAACAGCCGTGTCCTTGAGTGTTGACACAACAGCCGTGTCCTTGAGTGTTGACACAACAGCCGTGTCCTTGAGTGTTGACACAACAGCCGTGTCCTTGAGTGTTGACACAACAGCCGTGTCCTTGAGTGTTGACACAACAGCCGTGTCCTTGAGTGTTGACACAACAGTCGTGTCCTTGAGTGTTGACACAACAGCCGTGTCCTTGAGTGTTGACACAACAGTCGTGTCCTTGAGTGTTGACACAACAGCCGTGTCCTTGAGTGTTGACACAACAGCCGTGTCCTTGAGTGTTGACACAACAGCCGTGTCCTTGAGTGTTGACACAACAGCCGTGTCCTTGAGTGTTGACACAACAGCCGTGTCCTTGAGTGTTGACACAACAGCCGTGTCCTTGAGTGTTGACACAACAGTCGTGTCCTTGAGTGTTGACACAACAGCCGTGTCCTTGAGTGTTGACACAACAGTCGTGTCCTTGAGTGTTGACACAACAGCCGTGTCCTTGAGTGTTGCCACAACAGCCGTGTCCTTGAGTGTTGACACAACAGTCGTGTCCTTGAGTGTTGACACAGCAGCCGTGTCCATGTTTGACATGACACCTTCAATCCGGTGCCCCCAGGAATCACATGAGACAAGCCCACGACATCACCCTAACAAGAGAAATGAACAAAAATACCTGTATAATAGACAAAACCCAAGATGCAAGAAGGTTACAAAGTCTTGAAGCAGTTCACATTAGAATAGAACAACCAACCATGAACACCCAAATCACGGAACTATTTACTCTACCCACCATGAGAGTAAGGACAAGACCGGAATATAACGATGCCAACACAGAAGACACTGTTCAACATAACAGGCCAATTACACTTGACTAATCTTTGTATGTAGATAGGAGCTGCCTCGTATGGGCCAATAGGCCTTCTGCAGTTACCTTTATTCTTATGTTCTTATGTGCTTCGTCCCCCATTTATCCCCTATGTATCCCCCTTGTTTTTACCTTTATTACCTGACCCCATACGGGTATAAATCAACGAGTCCTGTAATTTCATTTCACTTGAGAATGAACCATGGAGGTTCGAAACGTTGTGCAAATTGTATAAATAATTGTAATACATTCTATAATAATTCACTTTTTTCTTCACCTTGAAATAATGAAAATGAGTTTTGGAGAACCTCTTTCAGCTGAGCCCTGATGCTAGGAAAATAGAGGGATAGAAGCCCTAAACCAGAAGATAGTAAATACTGAATATGCGGTCATATTCAATGAGACATGTTTAAAAGAAAACCTGCTGCCAGTATTCACCAATATATATATATATATATATATATATATATATATATATATATATATATATATATATATATATATATATATATATATATATCCTAACCTAATTATCCTAACTAATGTTAGGATAATTAGTTATCCTAACCTAATGTACCTATATTAACCTACTATACCCCAGTTTAACCAGTCAGCCAGCTTGTACCTTTGTTATTTATATATTATATCCCTAAATCCCATACATATGGTCTCCACAACCAACCCATATATAACAGCAACCTATCTACAACGCATTCAACTCTCCAGTTAAATCTTCCAGTGATATTTAATATTAAAATATTTATAGTGTAATTCTTGCTCATTTTTGTCAGTCAATATCTGTCGCTAATTACAAATTATTTTATTAAATATTCCAATAATTATATTCAATACAACTGACTGTCTAATATTATCAGTGTGTGTGTGTGTGTGTGTGTGTGTGTGTGTGTGTGTGTGTGTGTGTGTGTGTGTGTGTGTGTGTGTGTATTCACTTAGTTGTGCTTGCGGGGGTTGAGCTCTGCACTTTCGGCCCGCGTCTCAACTGTCAATCAACTGTTTACTAACTACTTTTGTTTCCCACACCACACACACCCCACGAAGCAGCCCGCGACAGCTGACTAACTCCCAGGTACCTATTTACTGCTTGGTAACAGGGGCATTCAGGGTGAAAGAAACTTTGCTCATTTGTTTCTGCCTGGTGCAGGAATCGAACCCGCGCCACAGAATTACGAGTCCTGCGCGCTATCCACCAGGCTACCAGGCCCCCATATGTGTGTGTGTGTGTGTGTGTGTGTGTGTGTGTGTGTGTGTGTGTGTGTGTGTGTGTGTGCATTTCATTTTTAACTGACGTCAGTTTGAACTGTGACAGTTATAACTGAACAGTCATAACTGTCAGTTAAAACTGCACGTGTGTGGCCGGCCTAAAACTACTCGGTTGTGCCCTTGAGTGCTAACAACCGTGCCCTTGAGTGCTAACACAGCAGCCGTGTCCTTGAGTGCTAACACAGCAGCCGTGTCCTTGAGTGCTAACACAGCAGCCGTGCCCTTGAGTGCTAACACAGCAGCCGTGCCCTTGAGTGCTAACACAGCAGCCGTGCCCTTGGGTGCTAACACAGCAGCCGTGTCCTTGAGTGCTAACACAGCAGCCGTGCTCTTGAGTGCTAACACA